TCTATTTGTCGCAACGGACATTTGATTATCAGTTATTTTTCAAGTATTATACGGTAACTGGTCCGTTTTAAAGCAAGGCAGGAAAGCTCTGATGGCTAGACAAACCCTCACCGAGAACGTACACAGTCTAGGTCACAAGAAAAGTCTATCTGTGCGACAAAAACTAGCTGTAGGTGCGGAAGAAGCGAAAACAGGGTCCAACACAATACAACAGGAAATTGACGACACGACACAAAAAAACAGTGCGGATTTCAGCGTTAACTGGTGACGTTCTTTTATCCCCTAAAGAAGTTCGCTGTGAACGAACGCAAAGTGTCGCGGACCGTGTTTGTCACAGAAGTCTGAAGACAAGAAAACCAAGAGATTTGAGTGATGTTGTTTGCTTCTCGATACGTTAAATCACTAGGCATCTTCGATTTCTCTCCGAGGGAAAATTTCTCACCTCGATTCAAAAATAAACCACAAAAATTATTTTTGCTTTACTTATGATTTAGAAGATGTGCCTACTGCAGATAACAAACTTTTGGCCAAAATTTATGCTCTGTGTGTGGTGTCCAGTAAAGGAAACGAAACATTTTGTCACCATCCTTCTTTCAGAAAAGCGAACGTATCACTGGAGAGGTTTATCTCTGTGTCTACAAACTTTGAGACACCCATGTACAACTGACTTGTCTGAAAGGAAACCATACGTTTTTCGACAATACAAACTAATCAGTGCAGGATTCGTCGCTTGAAAATACAATCACGTTCCGGCGAAGGGGGGAGATGGAGCTAACTCGGATTTGAATCCGTCCGGTTACTATGAGTAGAGCGTCATGGAGAAAGCCCAGCAAGTCTCGACACAAGCTTACTCGTGCTATCAAAAAGGCTTTCGCGAAATTACATTTAAGCATATGAACTGTTTGAGCCCGCATTCAAGCTGCAATTACCTTTATTCAGTAAAAGTCATGAATAAGACCTCTAGCACATATACAAAAATGTCCAAAACCATAATAGAAAGTCCCAATTTACGTACCGTAATATATATGTATACGATGATGCATATAGCGATTATGAGGCCATATGCGCCAGAATTTGCTCAAGGCTATCGTAGGAAACAATAAAAAAAAATAAAGTAACACGCTATTCGTCAAACACTCTTTAATTATGTGTACGGAATATATTTTTACGACTCAGTTTGGAGAAAGGACACTGATTATAGTTGCAGAAGCCGATGCGCCCTAACCTCTTGTTGCTAGGCAAGTCAAAGTCCTCATATGCTTATCATAGGTCCATATCAGTTCATGCTGCGCAGGGTGAAACCGTGTTTTAAATAGTTTGAACATCGATAAGTCATGTTTTCCTGACTTCAAATCATTCCTGAAAGTCAGCTTGACCTCATTGGCACCTATGTAACTACCATATGGCTACGCATGTTTCTAGCATGAATACTGACTCACGTCAAATTATAGTCTATGATCGTAATCTGATGGATACATCTACCATATTGTCCGGTCAATACGTCATACTATCGAAATCGTCAAACTATTTTTCTCCTAGCGAACTACACATGACATGCCCTTAGCAAAAGCGGCATGTGGTATAACGATACGATAACCTTAGTTTAGCCTGACATATGTATATGTAAATGTATGATTTAAGTTGCGCTGTAAGGCTTCACATTCTATATAAAATGTATTACATATAGGGTTAAAACGCAGTGCCCCATATAGCCCCACCTTATCTTGATCCGAATGACCTGCAGGATGCTCATGTAGTGTAAGTCAATATTACGACTTTTCTAAAACGAGCGATTTGGCGTTGAAAAGGAGCATGTGAAATTATAGTAGAAAAGTCTTACTTCGTAGGTTTGTTGCATACTTTACATCCTTCAATAGAAATTTGTTGAAACACGAAAAAGTACCTAGCTGTTGCATACGGCCTCACATCTTGAAATTTTGGCAGCGAATAACATCTAATTATGCGGTTGCGCTAAACTTATAATCCGCATGAATCCAAAATATTCTGACAGTTTCATAGTTTAGAAATACTGAATCACCGTTCCCTAGCTGGAAACAGATGGGCTCGCTCATATCGTCTCACTTCCATATAAGTTCAGCTTCCTCCATGTAATACCGTATGCAACTGAAGAAAAAAATCAGGTATCTAGTCGATGGGTTTTTCCTAGTTAACTGGTGGTATGCCTATCATTGCGGGAGTAGTACATCGGCACGTTCCATTCATAGAGCCGTCCTTTTCACTGATAGGACTCGTCAGCCATGGACAGTACGTGTACAACTGTTTGGATAGAACGTGTCGATAATACTAGTCTTCTAATGTGCCTTCTACAGAGGAGTAAGGTAATGATGGAGAGCACAGTCCCCTAAAGAAAGGCAAAAGCCAGGGCAGATATCCTAAAACGATGCCTGTTAGCTTGCAGATCGCCTTATATTTTTGCTGTTACTGTTGAGAAATAGAAGAAGCCCTACTAGGTAGAGCTAATAATAATAAGACAACCTTAAAATAACACATTTGGATCAGTTGCTTTCTCGAGAATACCCAGAGGCAAAATAACGCCAATGTTGGCTGTTTTAGAGCATTCTAGATCCTTTTGATCAACTGGGGTCACTGGTGAATAAATTGTTTCTATTGAGTTCGCAATCGATTTGATGGTCATAAATATGCTAACCGTAAGACAAGCGGAGCAAATGTTTGTGAAATAATGATTTTTTATTATATTGCTTCACCTGTTGACTAATCCTTTAGCTAACTATAAACATATATTTTTTTCCATATCCTAACTATGAACTTATTTTTGCCCAGGCCAGTATATTGAAAGTGGCCCTTCATCTATCACTCTCAAGTCTCTAAGCCAAATGAGCTCATTTTGCGACATAGCTGGCTTACCATTACTAAACATATTAAGAGTAAGTTCAGCGTATTTTCCAACCCGTCACAGCCTCGTGACTTCAATGGCTGGCTTCAATCAGAAACGAATTACGATGTCCCGTTGTTGTGAACTATTGAACAGCCCCATGGCCGGCCTGCATTGTAAGGTACTAGGCATGAGCTTTTCGCAGACACATATGCGCCCAGGTAGAGGTTAAACACTTATCTGCCCCGAAACGAAGTGGTAGAATAATGAGATTTGTTAGGCGTTTGTCCTTCTGTTATAATGGGTGATTTTGCTGGCACCTTGTTTAAACTTTATTTGTATCCAATTGTCCTGCTCCGATAGCTGAGTTTAGAACGTCCTCTTATCGACACTGATCCAGTGCCTGTCTCGTCAAGTAAATATGACATCTGCCAGCATGCATAAGTGACGTGGCGTTAGGCGCATTTGGTTAAGGCGAAACTTAAAAAGGGCATAGATCTTGAGTCTTGCTTGCGAATGGTAAAACATCAAACAGTTTGTCGGCAGAACCAGGTCATGAGATGTTCCGAGGAGCTCGCCGCAGGTAACGCAGAAAAAACTGAGTACGTTCATCGGCCAGTCTGCTTAGGTAGTAAGCAAGCGCTATTCTCTTAACTATTCGCGTTCAGCGTTATTATTGATTATGGTCTGCACGCGATTCACAATGATCTATAGTCAATTCGTCCTTTTCCTCATTTTATAAAGCCAGAAACACTAGCTATTATGTGCCTATAAGGTGCATGTTTCCGGTGACATAATCGAAGAAAGAACTAAAGGTATTATGGCTAGTGCAGGTATTTTCACATAAACACGGATTAAACTTATCTGCACGGTAAGCCGTTAATAATCAATAATTTAAGTGTTCTGAAAGCCTATCGTGTTACAGCTTCGAATTGTACAGCGGACCTGATTTTTGGTAGCCTGACTTTTTACGTTCGCTTTCATCGTGGCCGATTTTGAGCTCAGAGTTCTTGGCGTATCAAAGCTTATTGACAATTGTTTTGACTATGACGGAATCGGGTGTGTTTGGTACAAACTGGGATAAACAGTAAAATAATAGAGCTACAAGAAAGGCAGCTAAAAGCTGAAAGTGACAAAACGATGGCACTATGAAGGGTATTAGGGTTCAAAAGCATGCGGAGAAATTTCACTAGTAACTTAGAACAGAACTGGGATCTAAAACAATAAGGAAGGCAAACAAAAGTTGCTGATGAATAAAATTTCTCAGGAACGCACTCAGAGCACAAATCTTCTTCAGCCATTAAATAGAGCACCGCTTTAATTGGATTGTTCGTGGCTTTCATATTTCACTCATCTATGCATCTGTAGGATAGATGAAAGTCCCATTTGCATCTACAAGCTATAGTAATAACACTATTTTGCGAGTATATGTCAATATATACACGTTTTCCAAATTAAGTATTAATTTAACAATTAGTTTTTTTCAGAGGTAGTTTAAATTTCTATCTGGGCAACACAGTCGAATTTGAACACTTCGTAGAATTGGGGATGCCACAGGCACGTGAAAACGCTATAGGCGCTGCATCGTAGTCCTTAAACGAGTAGAAACACGAAGGTTATATTATTCGATCTCTAATACTACAGAAACATCTTTTGGCTGCCAACGGTGTCGTGTAGATTACATTCGAATAAAATTAAATTACCTAACCCTGCGCCTTAGTTCAAACCATTGTTGCCCAGGCCCAGATCCTGTAAATATAACTTTTATCGTCCGTTAAACAAACAGCGTTACGTCCTTATTTACCACAGCTCACCACAGGGAAATTAGACATCAACCTAGTAATTACGGTAATCAATTGCAGCTATGTTTTATTTTCAGATAAACTGCAAAAATTAAATTTCAAAAAAATAAGATTGCTTTCTTCTAGTAGAGTGGAATATTACGCTTGTTCGTACGCCGATTTAAGGATAGGGTAATGCGTGTTTAGTTCGATAGACATTAATCGTTAATTTCGGCAAGAATGGTTGTGTAATAGGACCGAAAGCTAGGTAAGCTTGCATAGGTGCCTGGAAGCGTGTCAAAAACTATCTAATGGAACTATATTTCTTCTTTTCTGTTGCTACATCTTATTTGATATTTCAAAAGCCGGGGACAATAGCTCAGGCACAGAATCCAGCGGATGTCCGGTAGCATGGGATGGCCTATCATGTTGGCCTGCCGTTCCACCTTCGTCGTTGCTTCAGCGTTCGTGTCGCCTTCTGCTTCTAAACATCGAAGAAGGCGCTAGTACTGTCCTACGTACGACAATGCATCATCTAAACGATGGTACTGTTGTCTCAACCAACATCAACAATTTACCAACGGCCTAAATAGTATTCATAGGAATCGCTGTTAATGACTTTGTTTCGTCTGTCGCATGAAGAAGTTGAGTAGCAATGAAAAAATGTCTGAATCTGCGTCAGTCTAGGAGCAATACTTCCAATATATATATATATATATATACTCATTAAAGTGTTATTGTTTTAAACTGAACTTTTGTGTTCACGCTCCTTAAAAAAAATCATTAAAGCTCTAATATATATGTCGAATTGTAAGAGGATGGATCCTCGAGAGCTGACATTTTTATCGGCGCCTGGAAGTTACAATTCAAGTATGATATCCTAGGAGATAATCCTGATCAATCTTGTCTCTAACTCGCTAGGTGTCGATATGGGCCTGTATCCTATTGTATTTGCGAAAAAGTATGCATGGAAATTTAGACTGTTTACTCTACCATGGGACCGTTCAACTTTCTGATGCTCTTTGCTTTTCTATCTGTCATAATTCACTACAACTCATGTATCGTTCGAATAATTCAGCTAAAAAAATAACAATACTCAATTCATACTACCTCAAAGACGATAACGCTCTTAGCATGTATATTGACTACCTGCACGTTGATGCCGTTGCTATAGAATATAGGAATTGCACCCGCTATTTATTCATGAGATTCTGCGTTATATTACCTCTTAAGGTAAAACATGATCGTGCCTTTCTCAACCCACGTGAACTCTAGCAGTTCTGTATGCTTTGCGAAACTCATCATAGTTATTCAAGAGTTTCTCAAAAGCTCTTTGAATATATCGCTTGAAAAGTATGTAAGAACCGATACGCGTGCAAATGTATACAAAGTGATATGTCCTCCTTCAAAACGTAGGTAGCTTTAGTAGTCCTACTGTTCGTTAAATAGGACGCTATCGAAACTTGTTGCTAGCTGGTACGTACATTTGCGTAAATTAAACGTTTTACTGGCCGTATTTTATCTAGTGAGGAACTTCCCCGTGCTCGTTAAGTTAGCAGCTCGATTCGAGTCGGGTAGCGTTTCATTATCATGACCTGTTACCGGTCGGCGACCTACAGTGGCAGTGATGGCTGCACGAAATCGCTTGTTTGTCACCATGCTAACCTTATGAACGTTATTTTTTATGCTGTTTGAATTATTGCAGAAACGTTTGCGTACCGCCTCTGTGATAGCGAAGGTCACTGGGTACTGAACACGACGAACTATAATGCTTGTATTGCCCTCATCAGTCAAGCGGTTAGTCGAACTAGCAATAATAATGAAAAGCATGCTTGAGTTGGCCTAGCTTGAACGCTCTACCAACCACTAGGGCATTTATCCAGCGACCTGGTGCGTATATTCGCAATTTTTACACAATCTGTATAAATAAAAAGGACTTATTCGTATATTTGCAAAGGTCGCCTACCTTTATATCGCCATGTTGTGGGTCATCCTTTGTTTCCCGTATACTATACCGCCTAAAACCAGATGAGGCCCGCGTTGTGCTCCATACCCACAACTCGAGTCCGCAGTTGTTACCGTCGTTGCTGATGTTAACCTGACATGCTAAGAGAAAAATAATATGTAATTTTTTTTGTTTTGTCCCTTGTCGGATATTTTGCGATTTGTTGGAGAGCTATCTAGGGCAACGCTCCTGCCTATAAGTGAAAACAGGTAAAATCCTTTCGCCTCCAGCGTGTGACAGTCACCGTCTCGTAGAGTACTGTCTATGTTTCGTCAACTAGAAACTGAACGTAACCTGCGTCCCGATTATGAAATAATTACAAATATAACGTAATTGGAAAATTTTACCGAATTCGGTCTTGTGAATTGCAATGTAAAAATCATTAATATTTGTAAGACTATGTCAAGCGATTTTCGATTATTCCATATATATATATATATATATATATATATATATACAATTTCCACTCTGAATCTAAAGGTTCGAATGGAGGGAAAGCTGTACATGCCAGCTTCATCTCTTCGCAGTTGTTGTCTGTGAGACCAAGTGGCACCGTTACACCGTCAGCCGCAACAGCAACAGTTGAGAAAAATATAGAATATTCGATAGTACGTGTATTGTTTAAGTAAGAACATGCAAAAATAGTGCTACCTATTATGATCGGCCTATGGGCATGAACAGGGGCTGTCTTTACTATCGGCGTTGCATTGCGTTCAAGGTGCCTGCAACTTTTGTGACCTCCAAAGTTTCTCAGATCTGTATCTCCGATATCAGTGACGTAGTTAATAGACTTAGTATCGAACACGACATCGGTAAAAAAATAGTAATCTTTACGTCCAGTTACAACATTACGAATGAACACCGAGACGAGCATAGTGAATGTCTCTTAACATATTGAGAATTTACTGAATTAGAGAACATACTGTTAACAAAAAAAAGTCTGCTCATAGATTGAATGGACTAACAAAAGACTTGATTTTTTTTGTTATTGTAAACGTTGGTTGCAGTAAGATTTTAAGGTTCCATAAAGCCTATGGTGGTCTATTAGCTTACAAAACGGGAAAAAAAGAACGACTAAAAAATCGATATCTGTTGAATATTCTGAAGTTTGATGCGTAGATTATTGAGAGAAATTGGTCTTGAAGGTTCAAAAAGTTTCAATAGGGCTTAAGAACGTTTTGTGTTTTAAGCATGCTCTTAGTTATATTCCCATGCGGACAGGCTTTCGGAAGCACCTTCTTATGTTGTGTCAAGAGCAACAAAAAAGGGTTTTGCTAGATTTAGCTGCGATTTCTCAGCAGACCTATAAAGCAGCGGAATAACCATATTAAAAGCTTTCGTAGCTAGCATTTTCACTTTTTTCTCCTTTTCCCACGGATACTTTTCATCATCTGCTAACGCTAACATCTGAACCCGCAGTAGCCGGCACTCTTGTTATTTACGGTTACTATGACGACATGCTCACTCCAGACCTCCCCATTTGCAAGATAAAGCATTAAGCCTTTAGTTAATAATTCTACCGCGGGTGAACCGGGATTCAAACTTAAAGTGAATTACTATTTTCTGCTACATATCATATGTTTTGGACAATAAGGTTTCAGCCCGTTATCATGTGTAAAGCTAGCCTTGACCTTTATAGTATTACTGCTTTGATACTTTCGAAATATATATTTTGACCCGAAATTACTTAGTACCTGCTGTGATGTTTGTTACATTTAAGCTACTGACACCGACAGACTTGTATAGAATATTAATTAGTACGATAAAAGCGAAACTATGCTTCATTTCAGCTTATCTTTGAAGATCAAAGGCTAACTAGCTGTTACCTTAGCTTGTTGAAAAAAATAGGTGCTACGTCCGAACATCTCTCTAACATTAGCTCTGGAGGGTAGTACAGGTTAGATCACTCGTAAATGTTCACATGAGTAGGTCGGACGTTAGAGTTGAATCTGAAATGTCCTTCTCCTTTTATCAGTTTTATGTGATCTTACCGTCTACTGGGTCTTGGTGAGTCTAATGGATAACAAAGAGTTTCGATACATCCAGTAGTCCATTAAGTCCTGGCGCTGCTAGCATAGACTGAGTGCAGTGTAATAGTAAAAAAAAAAACACGTATGGGCGTCCTATCCGACATAACTTGTCAGTAACAGCTATAATTACGATCCCTCTCGCTTCCTGAGCATTAGCTATGGATTATACCGAGCGTATGCAGCATAAGACATTCAAAACACAAGCCCCCATATCATTGTATTGCGTGAATTTAAACTCGATATGAAACAATGAGATACGAATTGGCATTACGATTTTGTTCGAGAAAACTTCCTGTTAGAGTCTGTATCTAATGTCTATTAAGAAAGCTGGGTGACCGCTGTATGAGATGTTATGCTGATTGGGTGTTTAGCTAGATTGTTTTATCTAATAGCCATTTACCTAATTATATTATACTATGGATAATAATACATCGTTTAGGAAATAATAGGCTGCCGATTACTGTCTGGTGGAGTAGTTTTTAGAAAATGCACCGATTGACAATTTTTATACAGAGGGATACATACCCTTTCTGGGCTCGTAGTACAAGAACAAATGAGATTTGGTTCATACAAGCTTACCTTTCCATATGGTCTTATGGTAAGCGAAAACATCAGTGCAATAAAATCTCTATAGAGAAAATATATTTATTAGAAAAAACATTTCGATTCCATTCCAAAATTCTATGGGATGGGTTTAACTATTAGTAGGCAGGAACTAGTGGTGACTGTCCATTTTAATTGAAATACTCAGTATTTACGAATGAAAATAGCTAAAATCTCCCGAAGCAGAGTTTCTCTTTGAAAACCTGTGTAGCAAACTTTCGAGGGTTTCGGACTATGACCCGCACTTCTAAGTCGTTTTATTAATCTACTCGAACCCTATTATACGTTAGGTGAAATTTATTAATTTTATTATACATTAAGTAAATACGATCGCGTTGCTTATCTTTGATAAGAAACAGTTTTTTCCAACGACCGAAGCACTTAAATGTTGCAAGTTGTACCTCCGGCGTTGCCATCAGACGCATCAGACAATTGTGGCCCCCAAATTGTGTCTACGTTCAGATTCGATCATAGACCACCAGGCGCCCCTAACATTAGCAAGAAGACAAGTTCCTCATTAAGGATTTGATCGGACGACGATCAACGTTCCTAACGAGTTCTCAGCCGCATGGTCAGAATCTAAAGGTCCACGTCGGAGTTGCATCTAAAGCATTGCTAAAACACGTAGAACCAATTTAGTGCGAGCCAAGCACGCATTTCAATCGCATTATATTATCTGTCCAGTAAACTTACAGACAATTCTCGTTCGGTTAGGTCTCCGCCATCAAAAAGGTTTTGATCCTGAAAGGTCCTGATTTAATATTAGAGACGCAACTGCCTTCATAAAGGAACTCCTAGCTAAAAACTGGGATGCACAGATAACACTGTAGTATTACACCAAAATACATATTAATAGCATAATAATCAAAATATAGCAGAATAAATTCAATTAGGCAGAATATGGCATACAATGAAATAACTTTTCCTTGACACGACAATCCAACAGTGTACGTGAAGATTTTATTGCCGACGAAGGAGAGTGCCTATGTTAGCGTACAGACAAAAGGACACGTGCACAACGAGGAATTAATTCACTAATTACTGCAAGCTTTTTTTATGCATATTTATGCACCACTGCCCCTATTTGAGTTCAACTTGAAGGGTGAACAAATGGTCGACAGCAGCTTATGCAAATTTTACCACCAGAGTGTCACAATTATTAGGTAAAATCGCCGTACGCTACCCTCCGAAACATGTTTTACTGCGCTGTTACCGTACGTAGAGCCTCAAAATAAGAGACGTTACAGCCAAACTGACCGAGAACATTATACACAGAAGCACTGCCACCACAAGGTCGGATATAAGTTGACTCTGCGCAAAACAATATCTATGTATGAAAAAGTTGAACTATAATCGTTGCGTAAATAGCAGCTTATGATACTAAGTAAGCGTAAAGATTGTACGGAAGATGTTAGCATTTTTACCTGGAGATGATTATCAACTATTCACTTCGTTGTTTCTGTATAGCGTATCATACAGCTTAATAAAATCTGTGTTTACAAGGCGGTTTAATAGTATTATAGCGCATGCACATTATTTAACCTATCGCCACATCCTACGTAAAGCAGACAAACGGGACGATCTCCATCTTAATAAGCTATCAATCAAACGTTTATATTCTTTTTATAGCACTTCGTATTGAGACAAAACTGATTTACCCCAATTCGACCAATCGATATTCTATGTATGTTAATCGTATCGAACATCGTGGTCGTGTATATATATATATATCGAAGAAGATGAATAATGTATATTGTATTATTGTCTACTGTCACCCTCCTCAGGATCCGGACGCGTACCCCTTTGAAGCGCCTTCACTTCTTCCCGTCGCCGTTTCCGGGATCGTGGCATCTTTATCGCTAATTTCACTACTTCTGCTCACGATTGCAGCCGTAATCTTTTTAAAGTTTACGTAAGCAACGCTAAAGAACGAAAAAAAAAAAAACAAACAAAAAACACACATTAAAACGGTTGTTATTCATAAATGTTTTCGCTGGTTCGAACGTGCGACCCTTCGTTCCAGGCAGTGATGTCAATTATGAATCATTTATATCCATTGTCAGCTATAGCCTTTCTTCGCAGCTTATTATTATATTGGTAAAACTGTACTTGTGTGTACTGATTGAGTACGTAAAGCTGATAATTAACGCAAATCTGATCGTTGAAAGCATTTTTACTAGATTTCATGGAAGTCTTGCCTTGTCCATATCGCTCATCCGAGTGGTGACGGAAAGCCTTTACGAAGGCAACTGAAAGGGCTTTGCCATAGAATTTCTCTCGGTGTTGCTTTGTTCATCCTGCGAAATAGGTTTTTGTGGCGTACAACCAAAGGTCCAGTTGTTAAAGCACACTTCGATGACTAGGAGCGTTGTTGCGAGACGATGCTCAGTTATCGCCAGGTAGATATTGACATATTTGATTTCAAGGAGATTATTTGCGACATCACGACATTAGATCAACTATGGAAGTATACCACTGGAAAGTGGTCGGTTGAGCTTCGCCTGCACGCTTATCTGTGCTTTTTCCTGACCCATTTCCGAATGAATCTTTACGTAATGAGGACGCGTGAAATCTTAATTAGCACTGACCGCGCCAAGTATATTTACACAGTGTCTTCCGTCCTTTTCGGCGGCACTGTGTGTAATGTGGGATTTCGTCAGAGTTGATATTCCCTTATTTTCGAAAAGGGTTTGCACCATGTAAAAAACCACGTCATTTACTGTAAAGTGCCTTGGGTGCCAGGCCTCGTTACCGTAACAGGCAAATATAAGGTCACCGGTGGTAACTACATGCAGTCAGCCACGAGGACAAAGGCGGGACTTGCATGCTGGTGCAGGCTATAGTCGTACAGAGTGTGTTGTTGTGCAGGATCAATATCAGCCGCGGTGATAGTATAACGTATATATACTTAATAACAAACCGACTCTAACTATATCGCATGGGTATTCGTCATAAGATCGAATAGAACTATATATATAATGTGCTATAATGAGGTTTTATTTCGAATCTCGTATTGCTGCTGATAGTAAAGTGCGGTTTAAACAGATTATTAACACGCTGGTGTTTGATATAGAATTGTTCTTGGAACGAATTTAAATTATTCGTTATCATTCGACCACAAAGAGACGGCAGTTTTACAGAATAACGAACAAAGTCTCGTCAAACTTTTATTGCGTTTTTTTTTTCTAGAATTTGGATGCTCTTTATTTTGCCGAAATTCCATAGAATACGTACAAGCCAAAAAACAATGGTGGGACGCGAGATTACACAGGCGCACGAGGACCTCAATGTCCGAGATACTATAGTGCCTTCACAAAAGACCAAGTTGATTAGCTTGTTAAACGTTAGCAGAGGGACTTAGCGTAACAAATATTTAACTATATACATATATAAGGTCGACCAAGCGATCGTTCCATCTCCAGTTTGAACTACCGATCGTCAATTATGCTACATTACTGAGTCATAATTATTGATTACTTTCTAAATCGATGGAAAGCGATTTATAAAACTTTATAACTTTCATTCCTATTATGCATTGCCAGTTTTACATTACAAGCCCAGGCCCAGTATTGGACCAGCTTGTTTAGGACGTCCAAGATGGGACAATACGGACTGAATAGTCAGTCTCATATAGCATCGTCTCAAAGGCGCTCTTAAGATTCGTGCACATTGTATCAAGAGGAATATTTTCTTGCAATCAGATCACTGTTATTCAGAGGTTTTCATTGACAAGAATTAATAAAAGCAAGTGAGACTTTTTACTTACTAGCCAATATTTGTACGTTGAAAAATACCAAGTTCCTATAATAAACATCGGACCGCGGTTGCGCACAGAAAATGCTAAGTACAAATACAGTAAACATTTTTTTCGGGCTAGTTTGACACCGCTGTGTAAGGAGTATCGCCGTCATACGACAGCTCGCAATCGAAACAGGCGACTTGTTCATAGCTTTCAAATACGGGGTCCATAAGGGTCGCAGCACAAACACTTGAAAGGAAGAGTGTCAAAAATAACTAATACAGCACGCCTACATTATAGCCAACAAACAACTAGAAAATTAAGTTATCTTGTAACTTAACGTCGTTCATTACGTGGTATTGTACACATCTAAACCCAATGATCCTTCTTCGACTTAAAAACATCGCCAACTATTCGCGGTATTGCCTTATCGCTACAGGATAAAAAAAAAACTCGCGTGGTCTGTTTGTTCGGCTTCCTTGAGTGTGCGTACTAATTGCCAACGTGTCTTTATACGTCAGACAACGAATTTGTCTTACCATACCCTAGTTCATGTAAGACTGTTCAATTTCCTTGCACCTTTAATCATATCGATATTGTCCTTCGATAATAGTAAGTGCCTACCCCATGCTGTTGCATTATTTAGGATAAGACGTGGCAATGTGGGCCTGCTTACCTTTTTTTTTCTCCTAAGAACCATCGTTTATCGACCGCAATCTTTCCTATGTACGCCATACGCCGAAGAGCCTAACGAGTCGCCGCGTCTACCTTTAACCCAACAGCGTATAATAGAACAAAATTATTCTCAGATATTTTTGACCGTTTATATAGGCCTTTATCAGGCGCAGGAATGAGACACGAAGATAAGAGAAGGAGTATACAATAATGCTGTAAAGTTACTCACTGGAACCGATGTCCTTGTGGTCGATGAGCGGCAATAAATTTGGAAAAACAGCATTGTACTACTGCACCGTTAACAGCATACAATGGCGATTTTGTAGGGCGTCACTACCGAGCGGAAAGTTGTCCTTACCATTTTATATGGCCTCCTATAGATTAACACTGATTTGAGATGTTAGTACAGCTGTGCCGAAATTGGTGTCGGACTTCGTTTGAGCTAGGCGTACCCGAGAAGGTTCGAGCGACAAGGGTGATAGCTGTCACCTTTTGCATGTGAAGAACCGCATATGATAACAAAATTCACTTTAACAATTTATGATACCTGCGGCACGAAAACTTAATCTGACAGAAAATTCCTATATTGTAAGCAAGAAAAGAGTTTCCTTTAGATGCAGCGTATCTCGCAGATCGGTATCATGAAAACATACAATTAACCGAATCATCATCGCATTACGTGCCCTAGAGCACACCAATATTAAGAAGTGCTCGAAATTGTTTAGTGCACCGAAGACTTGTAAGTGAGCTGACCTGACCCATCGTTGGTTCTGGTTAGTGACGATGGCATTTATAATCACTCGCCCGAATTTGATTTTATTGTTTTCACGATTATGGGATCAACGATTACCTTTGAGAGAAACGTAGGTATGACGAACTTGATAATTTTAAAGTTGCGCGCGTAGTTTACCAGAGAATCATCTTACTCACCAAAATACGCTATAAAACAAATTCAGTTGATCGATCATATCCTATAGGCTTGCGCAAAATTGAAATGAACCCTCAATAGAGATGCATTTTCGATGTATGCATTTATGATTATATATATCATTCGAAGCAGAACGATGATGTGATGGAGCGTACCATGGCACCTTCTTGTGGCTTGCAGAGATTAGAATTACCAGTCTGTATGTAATACTTCCCAGGTCCATACCTTTCATAAAAATAGACCTCAGTTAAATCGATTAACTTTAGCGTGGGGTGGTCGTGGCAAAACACGCGTCCAAGAACGTTGTCGTCGAATAGATAACACAAGCAAGTATTATTTGCTGGGAGATTTACCACAGCAGGCAACCGAGAAAACAAATTTCGGCTGTCGGGAATAGTCAGCGCGACTACGCAGCCTGGGACGGGTAGCCGTGATGAGTTTGGTCAATTCATAAAGGCCCGAGTCGATTTGTAAGCGCACTCAGGTACATCGGAATGTTTCGGACCAGTCCTTGGTCCAAAATCAGCAAGGGTGGTTGCATTTCTTGCCTGAACAAACGCTGCTTGCGTTGCACGCCGACATACGATTACTGAGCACCCAGAACAAATCGTAAAAGCTGGCTCAGATGAGCACAGCCAGCGCCAGCCGACAGTTTAGCCCCCAAGCCAACGAAGATTATAACAAGAGTCAAGAGTAACGTCAATATAAGAAGCTATGTTTATATAAAGAAAACTTATTTTTTCGTCAGTTTTCGAGAAGTTTATAAGAAAGCGTCTAGAAATATGCCTGCTAGATGATAATAGAAAAAACGGCAAAAGTGATTTCTGGAAGCGCGGTGCAAATAAAGTTAAAAATACGAACCAGCAACTAAACGGTCGTATTCGAAGAGACCAGCCAATATTTTGTGAGATTGTGTTAAGAAAGGAGCACCTCAGAATAGTCCGACCACAACTCTTCGCTTGTTAGTACTAAATGCACGTTTAGGAAAATTTAATTGCATTGCAGTTATTTATAATTATAATTAAGTACACTGGAACGTATGAGGTACAATGAATGAATGAAAGGTTTAAAAACAGGTATAGCCTTAAACAAGCAATGTTACCTAAAAGCAAAATACATTGTCATTACACGATTGCATTATGGATTTGGACGATTATTACGCCAAGTAGTAAACGATAAGAAGGTAGCTAGAATATATATATTCGGCATATGTCGATAATTCGACATACTTGCATCCTATTCTTTTGTGGTATGCGTTGCTCTGACACAACGGAAGACGTATAACGATACATATACGATATGAGAAACAGCAGTTGTTACTCTTGGATATTCTGCACGACGACGAACTGAGAACGGTATCGATTTATCTCAAGGCGGTTTCATATTTAAAAGCTGGCGAACGGTCAGGTACGTACGAGCGGCGTGACGTCGGATAGCTCCATCTTGAAAGGAACTAAGCCGAAGAGGCGTTCACGGGCTGAACAAGTTTACCGAGGAATTTCAGCCGTTTTTTTTTAAGGAGCAAATAGAGAATCTTGGCATGCTCTTAAAATTGCCACGGTGATCGGGCGCAGAGCTCTGAAAGAGACTAATTCTGCCTAGGCGCTCTTTCTATTCATCCCGAATATTATCAACAGTCCCGTGCTAGGGTCGATTCCAGCTTTCCCGAAACAGCAGGACGGCTCTACAATAGGGTCTTTAACCATTAAGCAAACTACTGTATCATATCAAAAATAAGCCATACGAGCAGTTTTTGTACACTACGTACATCTATACCTTGATCTGCGATGACTGTCAACTCAATATGCACACAGGTATATACGACATTTAATGACGAATCGTCTGCTAATGTGTGCGTCGGTATGAATAGATCATCGAACGCCAGTTTGGCGGAATAATTTTTGGAACGAATTTAAATTAGCCATTCTTATTACACCGCAGAGCAACGGCAATTCTGTAGATTGATAGACAAGATTTTACCTTGCCATTATGCTACTAGAGGGCGTTTTAAATTTAAGAAGAAAAAAAAAAAAAAAAAAGGTTATTTATAAGGACTCCGCAATCTAGCTTGAAGTCCGTCAATCATAGTAGCCTGGCTTCCATAAAATGTAAATCATGTAATGTTTTTAAAATGTTTAAACCTCTCCTATAGGTTAACCATTGTACAAACATCGGTTATTCTAATACGTTTATTCGCTAATAACATGCACACCTTGTGACCAATACCTAAACTGCACAGTCTTCAACACGAAGTGTTCCACTTTTCGCACTGTACTGTAGTAAAGTTATATTATCAGCATATACACAGAGTTCGGCTAGTTAAGTTACATCGGATTGAAGAGCATAATAACACGGAGAACTTCGTCGGCTCAGCTTTAATCGAAGGGACACAACGTCAACATCCGAACAACGGTCGTTAATCGTGTGGTAAATTCCGTAAAGTTTGAATATGTGGTGCCATTTTACTATTCAGATATACGTACCTATATGTGAAGACGACGTGTAGGAAAGACACATCTGGCAACGATAGTGTAGGCCGTCATGATCGGATTTGAGCATGTTTAGATATATGCATATGTTAAACTCCAGTATAAAACTACTAAAATTACACATTGGCCGCATGCATTTCACATTTTCATGTAGATGCATTACGTTAAACGTTTTAGCTGTAAACTTAGTTGAAAGAGGACTCAACAACTAACTTACTACCATATTGGCAGGTCAGTTTATTTAGGATGTATCTTACAAACTTCATTAAGGGAAGACACAGAATGTTCCCCGGAACAATTTCCTGAGTGAAGACATAATCGGCTGTGAAGGGCAAGTCGTTGGCTTGTATCGCAAATTGTCTCTGACGTCGTCGGAAGTGGGAAATTTGTGTGATTAGAGGGCAACAGAAACCGAGCGGTCACTTCTATGCATGCGCCGTCTCAAGGGCACCGTCAAATTTGCACGTATTACATGAACAGGAACGTTTTCGTTGCCATAATCATGTTCGCTGTTCAGAAGTTCATACGGACAAAAGACGGTTAGACGCAAGATGCAAATCGAAGTCGTAAAAAAAATAAGGCTTTTATATTACTAGTCAATATTTCTAGCCAAAAAAATAGATAAAATAATAACTGTGCAACTGTGGTAGTGAACATAATTTGATGAGTAAAGATTTTTTAGACGATGCTTTTCGAATAGAAATTAGGTCAGGAATATCTATTTCAGTGATACCACAGCGCAAAGCCAAAACTCGTTGCTTGTTCTTTTTTTTTTTGTTGGAGATTTATAACCAGCGTAGTGTGGAAGCTTGAAAAGAGTATTCTCAATTTAGAAGGCCTGTTTTTGCAGCGAACATACGATTGAACATATGGACTATGTTGAAATCTAACATAGTTCATTTCGTAGATTATCCTATGCAGATAAATTGGTTGAAAACTCCCGGAAGGTATTGACGGCTATTATCGTTGCTGCTATCACCTTCCAAGAGAGGAAAGATCGGGTCAGGTGTTCACATGTAATGGGGATCTTAGGAGATTAGATCTGTGTACACCGTCTATACTGTGCATACTTGATACATATATTGTATATACATTTGTATACACATAGTGTACATATATTGAGGCTCAGTAGGGCTGGCACTTCGTGTTCCTACTGAAATATCAGGGCTTCAATCTAAAAAACGTGCCTTAGATTATCTTGGCCTGCTACGAGTGAGCGACCAGATCTTTTCTATCTCGTCGTTACACGCTATCGTTGGCCATCTATACCGCATGTTTGCTCGTGTATGCTAGCTGTAAAATGGCACTTGCGTATCAGACGAAGCAATTGTCCTGATATTCTCTAGTTTATGAGTAGTATTCCAATATTGTATTACACAGATTTATATATAGTCAATTTTCTTAGTTTTGGCATCGTACCACAATATGGGCAATGAAGAAATGTTTATGAAACGTTAAAAGAACACCTGATTAACAACGGTACAGTAACGAACACGTGAAACAACCTCAAGAATTGCCAACCCAGCGACTCTACATAGCGACACAGACATACGTGATTGCTCCAGAGGCTGCGACTCGAACGTATGAATGGAAATAAAACGGTTACAGTATAATTCAATAGAATCCCTTTAAATTAAATTAATTAAAAGAATTCAATAAAATGACGAAGAGTATCTAACAAATAAGTCAAATTAGCAAAACACTAAATTAAAGAAAAATTACTAGTTACGAGATACGATGCAATAGGAAAGGACATCGAAATGAACGACGCCATATTTGTTTGTCCTTACTGACACAGGAAAGGTCACATAGCTTCTGCATATCGACAGAGATTGACGAATACGAAAACTTCAAAGACGTGACCGAGTGGCAGATGAACTCGCCTCGAAATAACATTATCAACACTGTAATTAGTAAGTGAACTTGAATTTGGTCGTATTAAATATCTATGGATATCCGTACGCTTGAAGAAGCGAGAGACAAATTAATTTCAATTTGTCTATAAATTGTAGTGAAAAATTGACAGAAAAACTAAATTATCTACTTTCCATGAAAGGAATACTAAATTTATCACTACCATATATAAACCATAATCTTACCATAGCTTTATTAACATAAATTCATATCCTTATAATAAAAAGCAAAGAGTAAAACTGTTAAAATTGAATTTGGACCGAACCTGTCTTTGCGAAATGAAGCTGAATGTTTTAAACGTATATTATATAAATAATCTGGAAGACAGTTTTAGGAAAGCAAGGCAGACTCCATATGCGTTACCAGATAAAGCAGACAAAGTCATCGATGAACAGACATCTTTCCAAATTCATAATCTACAGTATCAGCGAACGAATAGCACCGTTAGAGCTTGTGCAAATTTTAGAGCAAAGCTCGAATAGATTAGTTAGCCAACGAAAACGATAACTTCTCGACAAATTTAGAAAGGGCAAAATATTTTTATCATGCAGCTAGTAAAAAAGAACAACAAACGTATTTTGTGATGACCACAAACCGCCGCTTATTAAATTTAGGCCACTTGCATTTAACAGCAAATTGTAGATACACTATTGGTTGATGTAAATCGATATCAGGACGATATTTCATTCGTTAGACTAATTAAATAACAGTATTTCAAGTAGATCAAAACGATAATAAAGATAGATTATCTGTTTGTTTCGCATAGAAAATGATAAATGGCAAAATACCTATTGCTCATTTGACAAAACGTCCTGACAGAATCTTCGATATTAGAGAAAAAAAAAAAAAAAAAAAAAAAAGCTACTAGAAGTAACCGAGTACAGATGACGAAAACAATTCGATTTACGGTAGTGAGTAAACCCTATAGAGGAAAACGCAACACTGTGAGAATGAAAGCGCTGACGAGTAAGTACGCTTGGCTGTTAACAGCCGATTTCACAGGTTTTTTTTATATGTCAAGCTGAAGTTCGTCAACGGAAGATACCTAGTGAACTATGGACGAAACCGCAGATCGACGTCTCTTGTCTGCGCTATTTTCTAAAAATATTTAAGGTTTCGTTCAAGGTTAAATAAGGTTTCCGCAAGACACCGTAAAGAAGAATATTTGTGCAAAATTGTAACCTTCATGAAGTACCATGTAAATGACTTATGCGAAATCTATGAAAGAAAAAAAGTGATACATAGAATAAGCAAGAACAACGGCATGGGAATAAAGGAATATCGAACGGACCAAGTGCCGGAAGATGTAGTATTCCAATATTATACTATACAAACATTTCTAGCACAGATACTGTGAGGCATTCTATCTCTTCTATTAAATAGATAGTTTCTTTTGCGAGTTCTACCTGTGCTAACGCATTGTCTAGAATACAATGTGCGCCAGATTCTGTAAGGGTCACGGCTTGGTGATCACGATGTGCGCTCTGAGTCGACGGCCTTGGTGATTATACACGTGTCCACCTTTAGCCCGATGGTGTACAATGGATTAACTCAATTATGAAGCAGAGATAGGCGCATATCGATTATCTATATGATAACATTGCAAAAATGATTTTGTGCGATCGATGTTTCTCTGTTCTACGGACCCCGTGGGCTTTGGATAACCGACCCAGGAAGACAGCATCACGTTACTGTTAACTTTTAATGGCGTATGGCAGAAGCTTTGTGGGATTTTTCTACTGGGAGAAAGTTTCACTGCTGGGACGTACTTGAAGGGGTTCGGATTTCGGCAAGCGTCACCCTGTATCTTCTAAATGTGACAATGATATGCAAATGCACACGACACCTTAACTACACATTTTATCAGAAATGATTAACCCCGGTTAAATCGAACTAGGAAAACTTAAACAGAAAGCAAGTTCCGCCAGTGAAAAATCAACCCGTTCTGCATCTTCAAATTCGGCATGTACAGCTGGCTCGTTTCGCCTAAAATTTGAAATCAAGATTTTGCCTGAGCGTGACGTTAGGGAAGCCAGATCATATGCAAGCGACGATTTTCGCGCCCCGGCCAAATAAATGTGTAGCGTAAGCGAAATTTTAGATAGAAAAGGCAGAATCTCCTCGACGAAAGGAAACTGTAGGTAAAAACAAAGTCTTTTTTTTTGTGAAAATTTTACGAGAAAGTGAATGCTTATCATAAAACAACAGGGGGTCGATCTTATTTTTTGTACGACTAGCGACTTGGAGGAAGTTGAAAACAAGAGCTAACACATAAATAGGCGATACAAAAGGATCCGCTAGTATATTGTAACAGCACATTAATGGGGATACTGTTGAGCAGCTAGAATAGAATGTATCGATTGCTAGATTTACGTATTTCTATCGGACTTACGAACGGCGACCTGTTGGCAAAAAAAAAACAACGAAATACTTCGAAATCAATAAATACTTTGAATTGTATTGTAGCTGCTAGTAGTAGAGGTTGAATTGTCTTGCAGTGTGCAATGTGCAAAAAACTGAAAGCCTTAGATATTGCTCGTAACATTACAACAATGCATTATTTTTTTACAGCCGCCTCTTTTTGCGACCCCATGAATATGAGACGTCGCTTCTTGAGTAAGCAGATATTAAAAAAAAGTATGAAGCAAAGCTTTCTACAATATTAGGTATTGTAAAACTGTTAGTGTGAAATGTGTTCCTTTGACATAGACGAAAATATTTCGAATGTTCCGACATATACGCGTGCCACGATTAGAAGCAATGCTTTGAAATCACACGTACGAAAAATTCCAGATGGTACTTGACAGGCATAAAATGCGAAATTAAAAAAAAAACTAAGCCCATAGTGTCGTATTATGTGATAGCAACACCTCCTATTTAATCTCGTAGCAATTGAAAGTGTGGTTTTTACAATAACTATAGTCATATTCTCCAGTAACCTACGATATTTTAGCGACATACTCTAGATACACACAGGAACCATTCGTGGCCGGCTCATATAAATAAACCCTTACCGCCGAATCTTATCACAATAACGTTCCGCACGGATATCGCGCCAAATGGAGCACCATGTTCGATTTAATGGTACACTAAAATTTGTTTCGGTCGCTACCAGTTACGTCAGACCCTGAACCAGTCAACGTAACTGTCTTTAACTATGAGACTATGAGGTAAAATTTCAGGTTCGAAACAAGATCGACAAGGTAAGTAGCGTCAATAGCTAAAAGTTGATTAAAGAAACTCGATTGTTCCATGGCATTTTTCGGTTGACAATACTTTCGGTACGTGAAATTTCAAGCTTCTGAAGTTCGTAGCTTGCAATATCTAAGATCTGAAGTAGCCACAATTACAGATTACGTACGAGCTGAGCTAATCATGACCAAATAACAGAGCAACGAATATCTTTTTCAGCGGTAGCTCTTTTTACGTCTATATTCGAATAGATAATCATATCAATTCGTATAAAAGCTATAGCTAACTTATTGTACCAGTGTTGATCATTATTTTAGACGAAAGGCTCCTTTTACCCTGAAACAAATCATCTCTCCTATAGAAAAATGTCAATAGGACTATTGGTAAAAGGGAGTCAGTTAATGGACGGGCAACTAATAAATGACAGCCCGATACTGTCAGAAGCTTTGAGGAGGTGCAAAAAAAAAGCTTGAAAGCTTCTCCTTGTTATAAGCGTTTAGCGATGAATAGGTCGTATTGTACCTAAAAATAACTATCTGCGTTTTATTCAAACTTTCGGACTAAATGCCAATGTCAAATACAAGAAAGAGACCTAGAGAGAGGTCTAGTCATGGCCTACTTCGTAGTTATATGATATAACAATCATTATAATATACAATGGTTTATTTTAGTAGGAAATTTGCAATTACGTTCACCTTAAGCTGCTATTTTTTTTACGGGAAAAAGAGAACATCGCCCGAATTCAGATTTTTTAGTGTGCTCATTATGAGTCTCTCTCATAACCTGCCTGATTATTGGTCATCTCACGTGAAGGCTAACGTCAAACATTACACGACAAAGAAGGATCGTCCTGGTACAGTCATTGCAGGATGTCCGGCCAACTACGGTCTTTTTCTAGATATCTGCCTAGTTTACTTGCCATTCCAAAAGAACGTGACGGCTTTCGAGAACAATAACTACAAAGAATAAACGTACCTATAGGTAGCTAAAAAGCGTATTTTTTCAGGCGCTGAATCGCCTAACGTGCAAGGGCGCATCGTCGAGTTTTAGCATGGCTCAGTTGGAACTGAGTTTTACTACAAATCTGCCTAACGAGTTTATCAAGATTAGGCATTACATTTTTTTTTTTTATATTTGAGAAGGGATTGTGTGCGAGGACAATCGTTAGACTGCACTATTGTTTTAAGGTGAAGTGCTTTATCTGCTTCTAGGACTCTGGCTTGTTCTCGGACGCGTGTACACACCCAACTGGTATTTGCACTTGGCCTGCATTCATTTTCACTACTATTCATCGCTGCGCCTGTTGTAGTCAGATATATCTTCCCATCCGCACGACTCGTTTCTATTGCAACCCAGTTTGTAAGTATTTGCTGTTTCTTGATTCGAAACAATCATAAAGCTGTATGAATATGTTTAAAAAAATCGTTATACTAGCAACTATTTTCTAACGCGAATCCAAAAGTGCTTTACACACGCCTCCTATACGTCCATATAATATAATGAAGAAAAAAAAACAAACTTGGCAAGATTTTAGATCCTGCATTCACTTGGTACCCACTATACGATTAGTTTGCATCTTTGTCACACTGTCGGATAGGTATTCTGTGCCGAAGTTCCTGGGCAGCCTTGCAAACATTCCAGTTCTTTTCTTCTGACTCGAAATGCTATCTCCCTAGTATAATAATATACGACAATACTATCATATAGGTGGCTGTCTTCTATTTTCTACGATCGCCAGCCAGATTCCAGATCCCGCAGTCTTTGACTAGTTCTAGGATCTAAGTCAATGTTGTGTCTATTCAAGTAAATCATTATGCTAAAGTCTTTATGAAGCATGCTATCAATCGTTTGCTCTGTTAAGGATTCGCAGAGCACGTGATGACTGGTGCCTTTACTATGTCGTATACATAGTACATATAAACTAGCGAAAAAATATATCTCTATGCCGACCAAGTGACATAACGTCACGGTACGATGGCTCGAGCTGCACGTCAAGAAGTGATTGCAACCCTGTATGTTTATCGCGTCAGCAAATCAAACTATATATCGCTTTAAACGTGCATCTGACATGATTTCCTGTCATATAGTGTTAACTGTTTACAGTTCGGTGCCCGCACAACCAATATATGCATCCAAAAACTCGTATTATTAGCACTCAATGATTCTTTCGATATTCCAAACGATTACTTTCCGCAACAGTACCACATCCATCAATTTGTCTCTCAACCGCTTATGTCATTGGCACAACGACGGGAAATACTGCAATTATCTTCAACGGAAACCGCTCGAGCAGACCTGCAAGCAATGTGGTAAGGACCAATATCTCTGGATGTTTTTTCCCGATTTCTCGTCACGCGTTGTTTTGCGACGCGTGCTCAACTAGCGCACAGATAGTTTGTCAGTGATTTGTGCCAACCGGTGATGCCCAGCTGCCCACATAGACCAGGAATAGACATAGAAATGGCGAGAGGCAAGGCATTCATTAAAATACACTGACTGCATGCCTTCTATGTTATGTGGATATCTACTGAGAGAGAAATCGCTTGTCGATTTCCTAGCGGAATTTGTATATCCACAAATTCACATATTTGACATGATTTTAAGCCAAACTTTCGATTTAGTTCAACTGACCCAGTATCTGGAAAAATTATATACTTCATCAAAATATAATTTACGAGAGCCCAGCGAAATTATCTTCTTTTCTTTAAGAAAAACTGTCTAATATCCAATAAGCTGAAGATGATACCGGCAGTGTGAGCCCTTCCTCCATAGTGAACTTGCCATCTTGTCTTTACAATAGAAACTACTGACCGTATCCGACATTATTCGCTAAACCTGTATTATATATCTAGGACGGTACGAAAGCACAAGAATGTAATAGGGAAAAACTATAGTAGTTGAGTTAGTAGTAAATTAGTAGGCATCGAGCAATTAGCTAAAAGGATACACTGGCCAATTTGTCTTATGTTGATGACATTATGGCATCGATGCTGCTATAGATACAGCCATAACGATCAGCAACGTGACGACGGATCGACACCTATTCTTGAAAAGAACATTGCACGACCATGGTGGTTTGCGTATTTAGATAAGCAAAGAAGACGTTGTTGATTCGCAATTTTGCTCATACACTGACTTAATACTAGCAACGCTCAATGGGCTCGTAGGTATGTGCTCTCGTTTACACATTATCGTATACAGATACGGACAAGTTTACGGGACAGTGCGGTGTTCCGTACATTGGCGGCTACCGATCTAATAGAACATCCAACCCGGTCGTTGGTATCACTGAATTTCGGACACGGTTAAACAACTGTTGGAGAAGCCTGATGTACTTGGCCGACCTTACTACCGGTACACTGGAAGAACGTACCATTGTAAGCTTCTTCTTTGAATCAATTTAAAACAAGCTGTTCAAGGGTAAGCGGGTAATTCATGTTGCCAATGTCGAAACCCCTGATCAGGTCCCAAAACGGGCTTTGTGGGTACTTGCTTAGTGCTATCAGCTGATTCACGCTCGATTGTTGAGTTGGCTTCTCCACAACCAGTATCCTACGGTTTCACATTTGGAACGACCTGGGGGAATATCAGTCGCTAGTTGCAGGACAGCGACCATATACAAGGTGATTGGCGTGGTCAAGAAAGACAAAGCAAAACCATTGGCACACAAGTTGCCGGCGCTACTGGCTGACGCCATTGCTGCGCTGAGTAGCTTGACTTAGCGGCGTCGTACATGTCAATGACGCGCCTATGATGTGCAAGGTAATGTGGGTCCTATTATTTTTATCGGCGGACAGTGGCGGCTGGTTCTTTGGGTTTAAAGAGCCTGTCACGTGGCTTGCGCTTGTTTATGCGGCCTGGCTGTTTGCTGGAGCGTTGTATACGAATAGCTTGATTCACACGAAAATGCAGTCGCAGACAAAATGCTCGAGTTGACGTACATTAGCCAGCTGACTTAAACGCTTTTAGTCGACGACGAAACATACATTCGCACAGTCATCCATCGTGCGTGCAAAACGATAATAATAACAGCTCATACCGTAAGGTCCTGTCGTGGAGGGACTGCACGGATTGTCATCAATATGTTCAGTCAAAAAAAAAGCCGCAAACGGTGAAGATGAAGCCATATTTGAACCGTTAACGAAATTCGGGGTAGGTCGACGTGGATAGTGGTACGAAGCGCGTTGTCGTTCAGATCTGGAAAAATTCTAAAGCGGATCTTGACTTGAAATACGGCACCACCATGAAAAGATATGGGTATTTTACAGATAGTAGAAATACAATATGAAAAAGCTATAATTCCCTTAAATTACTCGAGTATCTATAAACCGAAAATGCATTGCAATCATCGTTTCGACAGGTACTACAAGTTGGCGAACGCTCATTGCGTTTACAATATATTTAAGACTATGAGTAACAGCTAGCGGTTACTACTTGTACAAGACAAGGCACTAGGGCGAGATATTATGAACATTTGCTCGTAAACGGTAATAGTCGGCTGGGCATAAGATGACGCAGGAAACTAACGTGCTATGCTAGGGTGCGGATGAGCGGATAACGAGTAATATTATCAACGTAAATAAGTGCATGAATGAGAGTCATCCTTATATTATAAATTTACAGAGTTCAATAATATTCCATGATATATAGTTAAGGAAATAAACAAATTGGTAAAATCGATTAGAAGCGAACGACAGAAAGGTTCTTCATGGCTGGTTTCGCTTAACTTTTTTTGTCCACTAGCCATCTAGTACTTCTGCACCTTCACTATGCATCATGTAGCAGCAATTTTTTCCTTACAACCCATCATGATCGCTCAACGCAGTAACGGGTTTTTTTCGTGTTTGTCTTGCAATTCCATATGTGACAAAGTACCTGAACTATAACTATCAAATCACGTACAAACGTTATGTACCTAGTCCTTTACTATGTTGATTGCTGCTGCTGGAAGAGTTAGACGAGCGGCAACCCTATATCCTATCAAAAAATTCATTTACTTTGCTAAAAATCTCGGCAAAAACAGTTTAGGTTTCATAGAAATAACATGATTCGCATATTTATTTAATGGAGAACGACGTGTCCAACAGTTATTATCTTTCATTGCCGACATGCCGAATAAATAAGAGAGAACAAACTTAAATTAAAATAAAATAGAGCTTTAAGGCTTTATATAAACGCTCAAAATCCAAGCGCTAAAGTTCGTACAAGCGCCGTGGGCCAACCTCATGTTAATCGCTACTGCTGGTAGAGATAGACAAGTAATAACATTATATCTAAAGAGTTTCATGTAACTTAAGGTGTTCATAGACTGCTCTGGCCTACAAACGAAATGCAATTAATACCTCAGCTCATTCACTAGGTCGATGTTGAATTGTCCATTATATATACACGAGACCTGCTGGTTTCAAATCCTCATATTGTTCAGGGGGGCACTAAACAGTGTCCCACCAGTGAAAACATCAGCATAAAACTTCAAACGCTAGATACTCTCGTTGAAATATCAAGGTCCTTATAGTGAAGCTTAAGGTTCAAAAAACTGTTTTATGGGAATGTACGTAACGTTTACTTTTTTAGATTTTAGACTCGTTCATAGAAATTGTACAACTTGTTTCGTGTTTTTATAGTGATGCCCCTCTGCCCCGTTTGAATCATTGGCATCCATGTTTTGAGCAAGGTGTAATGGGCGACTTTTTAGGTCGATTTCTTTTTAGTTCTCGGTTCACTTTTCCTGTTAGTTGATGTATGTACATGTTCCATAAACCTACCCAGGGAACTACAGTGCCATATATGATTCTGCACAAGTGGAAAACTTCACAATGTCTGAGTCTACTCGAGCCTAAATTACACACAAAGTTCACATTTGAGGTGTCGAAAAGATATAAAGGGTGGGCAAACTTTTCAACTGCCATTGGTCATCTCAAGGCGTACGTAGTACACTTGATCTGCCAACGCTCTCCATTGTTATAATTCGCTTATGAAGCAACTAGTGCCTCGCTTTAACGGTACCTTATTTATGATTGCGCTTTCGTGACATGGACCGCACGATAGAATGTAACAGCTGTATCTATTGACGTGAAACCTGGATTCCATCCATTCTGATGCTTCTACCTTTTCTATTGTAGTAGATTACTATGATTAAGGGCATTCAGCCAGAAGACCCGGTGTACGTCTGAAACTTAAGTTTCATTTACGACACGAGCTGTTTAGTACAAAAAATATCGTCTGCATATGTGTATATGTTTTGTACAACATTAGGTACAAACATAAATCGATCTAACCGATAAGTTAACAAGAAATACATTTAAATCGCGGACAACACGTCAGGCCAACAGAAAATGACAGCCGAATCATCATTTTTTCGTTTAGAAATGTTTCTAATTTTGTGCCTTTGCCCTGTGTAATGTTAAGCGAAAAAGGTAAGTTAGTTGATCTCACACATACGAGATATTTTGGGTCTTCAATTCTAACTAAAATAGTCGTCGCTACTAATACGCATATATAGTGGCCTGGGTGTGTGACTCAGATGTGTGTTAATCTAGATATAACGGTAAAATAGCTGCATCTGGAAGGTGGGACGTAATAAGCTACAACATAACCGTCAATGCTATATAATATATATATATATATATATATATATATATGGGCGTTGAAACCCATGCTTGTGACTAAAATGTGCTCTAAGTAAAAAGAGATAAAGTAAACATTACCAACGTTGTTTCGTAAAAATGATTAATCATGAATGGAATAGATTAGCGAAAGCCCTACTTTCTTAAACGATTATTACCATAACATATATGTTAACCTCAAAACTCGTGTGAGGAAAGCTAATTTGAGCGTATCTCGAGATGGTTGATGAACTTGACAATCTACTGTTTCAGCCAGTGAATATCTCTGCAGCCGAAATTCTTTCAAGCTACAATAGCCGATCAAACGACCCGTTTGGGACGCCCTCTTCTTTCTACAGTTTCCCCTTCTTATGTACTGATGCAGCCTTGCAAATGAAGCTGGAAAGAAAGGACGCTTTGGTAGTCGCTTCCTCCTGCCTCTAGTTCCCGAGACGTGAGCTATCGAGCGATAAAAGGTTTACCGAAAAAACGAAAACTGTCAAATAACGGACTGGAATCCTGCCAACTTTCTAATAAGCGGCATTTTATAGTGGTTGCTTTGTTACGAAGTTAAACTTCGAAGAAGTGTTTAGAACGTACTGAAGGGTTTGACAAAGGGTCCAATGTCTAGCAGCTAACTTACTAAAATACAACTTTATTTTTTATATTTATCCAAATTTACATTTGGATAGGTACTGTCTGCACCCGTTACTACAAATAACTGTCTCTATTTCGTCTCTTATTGCACGGTAAACCTAACTTCAATCACCTATGGGACTTCGGTGCAGCCGTGGGCCTGCAAGGTGACACTGTGCGCCAAACTCTATTCTTCTAATGCAGCGATCAACTGGATGTTCGTGGAAGGCCATTTGTTACATTCAAAAGTATCCACCCAGGTGTTCAAATCTAGTGCGCCTTTTCGAGCCTACTATACTATTGGTTGGGGTATGTATAATAAATCCAATATTCTTGGTATGTATTTGTCATTATTCGATGTCTGTTTTTTTTGAGTTATCAATTTCGATAAATGTTGTGCCTCAAATAAAAAACGGTCCAAGTCTGGACATTTTAGAATGGGTCACTGCCAGCTTTTACTCAGAATTATCCATTTGAGGCGCGTGGCATCTGTGGTGAGCTTTGTTGATAGCATTTTGGGAAACCTTGTCGTGCTAAAAATTTTGGATGTGGTGTAATTCAGCAGTAATACATATGGGGAAGCAGATTTTGCAAAGATTTTCCGCTTGATTTGAAAGTATAAACGAACTGTGCAGAAGTCACCGGACGACCGGCGTCATATATGCCATGTCGTCACCATCATTGTGCAATATCGTGCGGAGAGAATAAGCAATTTGTTCACTAATCCATGGAACGAATAAAGCCGACTCGTCTGCACAATATCTAAAATGTGTGCGTTAGTAATGTACGACGTGCTTTTCGAGTGCTAAAAGCTCCCCTTCGCCCGCTGTCGCCATTTGAATTGAAGACTTTAATGATACACTCCGAAGTCATGACTTTGGTCGAGTGACACCAAAGCTACTTTTTGTTAGTCGCTACCTTGATTTAAATGCAAATAAAACAGGATTTACTTTAGAACTACTAAATCTTTCGTTAATTAGTACAAGTTTCGTAAATTTTGACATAGTGTGACGTACTGAACAATTGGCAATAGCTTAGACTAAGTACAGATCTTTTTTTGCGCGTACTATAGACGAAAATTAAACCGGTCTTTCCTAACATGTTTTTGCATTCAGTACCTTACCGGCATAGTAACTGGTTTGTTAAAAAAGCAAATGGTTGTCAGATTGAGCTGAGGGACACAGTGATTGAATATTTTTCTATAGAATCATCTTCAAATACATAATACTCGCCAGAAAGAGGTTTTCGACAGGAACAACTATTGCCGGCAGGTGTGTGTATAATAGCACCACTTCACTACAAACATAGCACAATGGTATACTGGCCCTCCGTATAAGGAAAGTCCGCTGTCTACCTTAAATTAATACGATCATATATTATAATAGATTCACTTAACATTGCCTTGCAAATAGCCGTAGTTTAATTTCTTTTTATTCTAATGATCGTTTTATATTTTCTTGGAAAATCGATATGGGCTAGTCGATCTGTTTGGAACTCGGTATTTTCATTTGTATACTCGTGCTTCTGGCAGACAAAATCGTACCGTCAGTTATTTAACAATATTCTGATTGTCTTATGGCCAATTTTTCAATGCTAATAGGATTTCATAGAAGAAATTAAAGCCTCAAAACCAGAACGGCTATCATTTTTGTTTCCATCTTCATTTCTTCTGAATTGATTTGGTTAGGGGGAAAATTGCAGGTAACTGCTAAAGTAGCCCTTACATATATAGTAATTCGGTGATCATATAATATAGTGATATAAGCATTACGTCAACTGGAACCTAGGTAGGCTCTAAGAACCTAGGTAGGCGCATCGATCAAGGAAATCGGTTTTGATATTTGAGTTAAATATGCAACTCTGAATATATATACACATTATAAATCACCGTAGATGTACCCTTAGATTTATTAACTAAATAAAAAAAAAACAAAAAAATGGCTTATCATACGCTCATTTATAAGACTGCAATTTAGTTCAGGCACATTATTAGAGGTCGCCCCTCCCACCATTATGTATTTATATATCAGGTCTGACCAAACATGCCTCCTCTCGAACGAAGGTACAGGACTACTGCTTGAGGTGCTTTCAAAGAAACATACCGCACACACTGGGGAAAAATGGGAAATCTCTTCCTATGTGTATGTGACAAAATAGAACGACTCAATACCTATATACATTTTGAAATTTAAATATAATTCGCGAATGAATAATCTAATGTCTGACAGCATTCTCTGCACGATGTATTTTTTGATCAGGAAGATCGATTACTCCCATTTACACTGGGCCACTAATTTACGTACATTAGTAATGATGATAAAATGACAAGCCCCCAATAGGGCAGGTTGGAACCGCCGCCTAACAACGGCAGGACATAAATACGACAAATCAATAGCTTTAGTGTTATTATACGGACTATGCTATTCGCTATGACATAGCGTAACGGGTCAAATAAGTTGTTATTTTTACATGTGATGAATTAAGTGATAACCTCTGATGAAATGATGATTGCTTTACAAACACAAAGTGAAACATCAAATTCGTTATTAATTTTTTAACATAAATCAGGCATGACCGTCTTGCGTGATACACTTTTTCGGTCCGCAAGCCCCAGGAAAGTTTATTCCCATATACATTCGTACTAGAGAAAATCCAGTCACATAATCCAACAATCCATATGAACGGGCCCTGCGATAGTTTAGCTGGTAACGTGTTTACTTGTTAATCTTATGGACACGTTATGGTTTCGAACTCCAAGCATATGCCATATGAAATGAGAATCCATGGAACTGCCATCGTCCAGGAAATATATTTGTGCGTTTACCAAACTTCTTCTACCATGACCTCAGCGATTCAAAAGCAGAACAGCTAATGGGACGCTCTAGTACGACATATTGGACAAGTAAAGATCGTCCAGTTTTGACTGAGGAAAATTTTCGATCTACTTCGATGACTTCCTGACATGTCGTTTGCCACTTCATTCCCTAAATGTTTGGAACGCTTAACAACAGTAGTAACAGATCTGATCGTGTTAAATATTTCAACAGGGCTGCGCAAAAAATAGTCAAAAAAAATACCGTGCATTGCACAATACCCTCGTGAAGTATTCGCTTTAGAACAACCGTTTTTGTAAGTAGGCCTGACCAAGGGTTCAATTCTCCTATTCAGGTTTGTAGCAGAATAACATCCGTTAGCGCATATTTTAATAACGTCTCGATTGCATCGCTGATCTGGTGCTGACGCGAGCCTTCGTATCGAGCTGACTCATCACGAATAAATGATTCTATATTTAACCAAAGTGCAGTACCGTGTTGCCCGATGCTTTGAAATCAATTTTTATTTTGTACGTGGACAGGTGTTTCTAACTTCTCGTACATTTGCATACACACAAATGTAGCATAGCACACTTATTCTACGTATAATTTAGAGAATAAACTTAAAGCTGGTTTCCAGCGATAGTCAATATCGTGTCGAGTATACCATGACTGTTTGGGGCTGTTTCGTTTACGTGGATAAATAAAAGATGATCTTTTTTTGGATCTTAACGATATAATTTTTTTAGGTTTCGCGTTATACTGTCACTGCGTAGATGCAGAGGGTGACAAATTCCATTGAAGTTACCGACTTCTGGTCTAGAATACCTCATCGTTGACACGTTTATGGGACGGATGTTAATTACTTCTGTCGGGACCGAGCTAAACACATTTGGGCCTACCCTAGATAGGGTCTGGTCTGACATGCCTAATCGGAGACTACCACCTTATTTTTGGGAGTAGAAAACTAGCTTTTTTTATACCAATAACATAATATACGCTTCTTCGGCAGGAGTTTAAAAGCTTTAATCGGAAGTTAGATGCAGAAAGATTAGGATAGATAGGCTTTTAACGCCCCTTCAATTATCGCGAAAGAGATACGCCAATGTTATTTTATGATCTTCGTTGAAGACCGTATGATAATCGTTGAAGAATGAAAAAGACGGTTAGTCAGCACCATAATGCAAATTGCGAGAAGTTTATAATCTATTTTCCGTAAGTGTGTCGACTTATTTAAATAACATGACCTCTGGCTAAATAAGCAAGTTCTTCTGATTTGAAAATAACAAAAATGAGCCTCAGGTTATCGCCTCTGAAACATTATAATACCTTTGACTTGCTCTATGTTCCAGAGAGCGATTTAAGCTTGCAAGACAATTTACCAAGCCCTACTTGCATGTCTAGCTTTAGATTCGTGCGTTACAATGCTCTGGTTGAGAAAGTTTTCAACCGGCCTATTTGTAACCGTGACATGGACACCACACAGTCGAACAACTTATACGGGACACGTATAATCAACTTACTGACAAATGCGCGTATGGGTTTAGACTGGCGTAACTATGACTGAGATCAAACGATGCGAGATGTTCTAGCTTCGTGAGAGCTCGATTTTGATACATCTCTATTAACGTTCCTAATTTGTATGTTCGCGCTTCCATCTATATGTTCTGAGACTATTCAGAGACCGAAGACCATCGCATCAGTTGTTATCGGCATGTCTCTCCTTGTACGCGGTTCCCTATAGTTGTATCCTTACTCGTTACGCGCATTAGGTGAAGCTGGAGCACTGTCTGTGTAGTGGTCCTATGGCTTACCACGTTTAGCCTGTTACTTGACACTAGCGTCAGGAACTACGGCAGGTAGACTTTCATCCGGCCCATTGAGAATACATCTTTCTGCAGACGGCTGAATAAGGTTTACTTCGTTCCTGCATCATATAAGTGTTATTACACTTTGTATTTCGCAGACCGAACAGCGACATTGATGATTTGCATAGCTCTCACGAGAACTAAATATCAATGTTACCGTTGCTTCATGTTATCTTCGGTTATAACGCTTTAACACTATATATACATATATGTTATATGTAGTGCTTTTCAAAGTGTTCAAAGTTAAAAAGCTTTAATTTAAGTCTTGCTACTTAATAAAAACGATGCATTGGCTATGTAGATGCGACACTCTATAGAAAGCGCGGGACACTATTTTGTTACGGTTACAAAAGAGACATTAGACCGTCATATATATCCCGGTGATAGTGGTTGATAACGTGGCACTGACGTGAGGTCAGGTGTATTTGCTGTACGTTGACTGTTCAGCTGTTTTTTTACCATGTTTGCCAAACTTGTGGAGTTACTTTCGGAAGTTGTTGGAAGGACTATTTCTGAATAGCCCTTCCAACATCTATTTTGATTAAGTTCTGTTTTACCTGTCCAATATATTTGGGCGATCTTAGCAGTTAGTAGTAGTAGTAAGGTGAGTAAGTATATGAAAAGATCAGTTCTCATTGTGACAAAATGCCGAAAGCAGCACGTTTAGCTCCTCCGAGCAGAAACTTCTCTCTGGTTCGAAAACTACTTCCATAAAGCGCGCACTAATAGCTAAGATAATTGCCTACGTACTAATGGAATCGTGGATTCTCACTAGTTATTATCGAAGAGCAGATGTACATAGAAATAAATCCTGTGCCTTAACATACTGTCTGCCTGAGATTTGGTGTTCTTGTGAAGTTTGAACAATTTCCCGTATTCTCTACTTTACTTCGACCATTTCCAAGTTGAAAATCACGGAGCAGCAGTCCCTTTCACTGCGAGATAATAAAATCTAAATGTGCATGTAAACTGGATATGTTATCCTATCCACACTAACGCAACAATCTGGATAAACCCTTTGTCTAATAAGCGGGAAAAAGTTTTCACCGGAACAGCGTGGGATCACGCTATAGACTTCCCAGGTAGTTCTATGCAAAATCAATATTCTCTAGCCGATATTGGCAATATCGAAAGCGGCAACTTCCATGTTAAAATGGCGAGCGATAGACGAAGTAGATATTGTTGTAACTAACGTGCCTGTGGATAGCGACCTATCAACCTATTCCCACAGCAGTCAACCGCAAAAATATTATTAACTCACAGGAGCCCTAGAATGGGACATGGATGAACACGTAAGATTACTGAGTTTTGTGCGATCATAATAGATTGTTTATATAATAAATAACCGCTTTTCGTTAATTATGTATCGCCTGTAAAAGCTAAATTATACAGCATATCTCATGGCTGAATTACAAACGTCTTTGTTAAGAAGCATTCAAATAGATATAAAACAAAATATTCCACCATCGTACATGATGCTAAAATCATGCTCGATAACATTCTCAGTAAAAATCAGGATGAAAATGTAGACTTATAGCGTGTTAACTCAAAGGTGTATTAGTTAACAACGATTCGAAATATCCCAATGTTTTTTAATATGTTGCTCTTGCCGCTCGCGTTACCCCATTCATAAACAATTTCTGATAAACATCAAAAAACCAGGCGATAATTCCATGTGACTTGAAGAACTGCGTTGAAACTGTTTCAACTAGTACGAGTGTTTCTGTTGCCATTTTGCTTCTTTTAACATGACACAAATCGTTGTTAGAAATACGGTCTCGTTTTCTTTACCCACTGTTATTTCCGACCCAGGTCTTCCATTGGCCTCCGTCGTGCCTTGGGCGGTAGTAACAGAGCTATCGTATCCGGATCGGGCTTGTTGGGAGGGTTACGCCAGACACTCAGCCGTCTGGTTTCTTATTGCACCACGACTCATAGCTGTGCTCGTAAGTTACCGTTTTAAATTTGTTGTTGCTTGATCCGAATTCAGTTATCCAGTTTCTATCTCAATCTTGCATGTAACTTCGTTTCGTTGAAAAAAATAATTGTTAATTTAGTCTTCTTATTATAAGATTCGGCGTTGAAATATCTTCAGCTAGTGTATGAAAAGAAGTATGTTGTTCGTACGGTTAGACCTTATTAAATAATATGTTTCATTTTATGTTTGGAACAGTCCTAGTGTTGCATTGTATTGCGTTTGAAGAACATGCCTAGTCTATTTTTCTAGTCCACGATTCACATGCCCCTATGTAGTATACAGTGCCGTGCACGTGGAGCTAATAGAAACCGAATTTCGGAACTGTCGTTACCCTGACCCACCGAAAAATATGAAGGACCAGTGATTTCATTGAATGGTTGATAACATTAACGTGGATTTTACCTTTATTCTGTCTCTTGTCTCGGGCTCCGTTTTTATATCAATTTCAGATTAATTCTGTGTTTCTGGTAAACATAGTACGGATCCTAATCTCTAAGGCTAAAGCTGACTTAACCGAAAACAGCCAATTCCGGTTAGTGCCGTTCCTCTAACACTTGAACTTAATCCACCTACAAGTTTCCGCCTACCAAGTAGCTAACAAATAGATAAAGTACCTATGATGGTCAGTTTATGTCTCTCTACAGTATGACTAGTAACAGCAGCAGCCGCCTCAATATTAGCTCTTAGTGTAATAAAATGCGTCACAACTATACCAACGTACATCTATTGTTTGCGGCGCGTTTTATTCAAATGCAGCTAACAGATTCAGCCCCATTAAAGCCACCTACTGATTGGCTCTGGAACCAGGGCTGCCTTTCTCTCGACCTCGAACGATCTCACTTGTATTGATGAAGTTTTCCAATTGGCTTACCCACGTCTCACCCCGTTTCACCGACAATGGAATATGTACTCTGCTAGTACGGCTAAGTAGTAGATTGAACTTTCCATCTTCTCGCTTAATACAAAACTTTTCGAGATGTGCGGACGTGAAAACCGCAGACAGCGATACTTGGACCTGTTTGAAACATAGTTTTTCATAGGGTTGGATACATGAACGCTTCGAGAACGGGCGAGTAGTGATTGGTACCTGAACCTATAATAACCTGTAAAGTCTGTAAAAAACGCACACCTTGAGAAAAGCAGGTAGACTTAAGATTTAGAAAACCCAATACGCGAAAAAGAATATTTCACAAGTTACGCTAGCTTGAAGTCACCCGAAGCTAGAAGTCTTTGAAGGTGGGCCCTTCACAGACTCTCATAGGTGATGTTCTGGGTGTATGATAATGAATAGCACAATTGGGAGCAAAAAATATTCAAACAGGTTCAGATCTGTCTCCATTACTAACTAAGCATAATTGATGCTTTTTGTTCATCTCTGCTTGACGGATAGGGCGGCATTAAAGGCTACACTAGTTCTTTTCCCGCTGCTCGGGCTCACTCATCTGCTTTTTGCAATCAACCCGCAAAACTCAATTGCAATACCCAGACTCAAAGAAGCCTACCTCGTACTCAGCGCTGCCTTGCAATCGTCACAGGTATCACAAGTGTGTTTTTGTGCATTTTAATACTGGATAATACGATAAGACTTAATCGGTGCCAGATTGGTTTAAAATACTTTTTATCTAGACGTGTCTAACCAGATAAAGTGCACTATATTTAGAACGTAAGATTTGACTTTCATCAGTACGAAATCGTGACAGACACGTGTGCTTTTTCTACATGACACGCAGAAACGACACTTCACAGGCTGAAGTTATGGTAAAAGACTGGGATGTCTACAAAAATTAAACTTAAGGGAAGCTTCAAAAGTCATATCTTTTAAGGCACAAAATTTGACTATTTTCTAAGGATACCCAACAATCTTTCACTAATCGATGCTATTTTTGTTGTAAATTCCGTCCGGCGAACCGACAGAATGATGACAAAATTGACGGAGTCCTTTTCTCAGCCGTACTGCATATCGGCAAATGTCTGAGGCATATTTTACTGGGTGTGAGCAACATTAAAAAATACCGACCTAAGTGAGCCTAAAGTGCAGAATCGGACGAATGAGCTTTGACTGCAGAGCGCAAAAATTGCGCCTTTATCTTCTGCTGCAATCTCACCTTACCAAATACCGTCCAATGATCTCCGTTGAGTCTGAACTATTGTCCATAAACTAAGATAAGAAAAAAACAGCCAAGCATTTTTTGACACCATTTCATTTTCTTCCCTGGGATATATTGGTGCAGCGAGATGGGTTTTTGAGATGTTTTTTTTCCAAGTAACAAATTGTCTAATTTCGTGATATTAATGCTAAAATTCCGCAAATGTTTTCTTTGTTTCTGTTGGAAACCCTGAGACTTAGACGCTAACTAACAAGAGGGAGTCTCTGATAAACTGAGACCAGCTGTTGAAACCCAGATCCGGCTTTACCAGACACTGCCTAACATTAGTCCGACATAACCGTTTTCTCTCGTCTTATTAGTGGTCCCTTATCAAAGCAAATGGCAGTTGATTAAATTGTTATGTAAAGGATTAGATGGCTACACATTATGGTATTATGGTTACCCGAAAATTATATCACACTCTAGCCAATAACTACATAGAACAAACTGAACAGTCTTTTTAGTTGATGCTTTACACAACGTATCTTTTTAACTTGTACTACCCCTATATCCGAGACCCATGCACCGTATCTGCAGGGTAAACGAACCAGCAGCTTTGGATGGGACGTGGTCCACGATTTCTTCATTTGGCGGCCATCGATGATGTAACGTACTTTGCAGCCCTATAACTTTTCATCCATCTCAAGTTGCTGTTAAACCATAAACCCTGATGCCTTAGGAAAATTATTGAACGCCAGCCAGATTGTTGCTGCTGCCTACCTGCAAGCAGTGAAAGCTAAACCTAATATGTCCAAGCAGACATCAAATGCTTTTAGGTTGTAATATTAAGTTCAGACATTTGTGTGTCAGCGACGATTCTCAATCCACAGTTTACCGTGTTATCCAACGTCCTTTTGGTCTTTTGCCATCGAAATATGTTCGTATATTAATCCTACATTGTTGATGAATTAACGGAAAACTATAATTGGGAGGTCTAGTTTCCCCACTGCTTGTCGCCGCGGAAATACTATATTGCTCGTAAGCCATCTACGCCTGTCCACCTCGTGATCTACTCGTGAAATTCTACATATTTGCCCGTATTATCGTTAGTATCAGTTTCCTTTTAACCTCTCGATAATAAGGTATCATACCTATAGATCACACGTACATGTATATTTTGCAGACCCACTACGGTCTACGTCTTCGAAGGGCATAGGCTCAAGGAATAGCGAGGTTATGGCAACTTAAATTGCCTATAAAAGACAAAGTGCCGGACGCTTGTGCTCTACATTGATACTTACACTGGCCCTTCGCTTGGTGGACGGCTTTGGCTCGAGAAATTACGTTATAAATCCCAGCGGCAGTTTGAAGAGGTAGCTTTCCTATGGTAAATGAGAATCCTTGCTTAAATGAATCGGTAAGACCAGGACATAGCCTCATCCACGTTCGCCATGAAGGTGAGCGATGCGGATACGTAGGGCCCAGCCGCGTATCATCTGGGACACTACGGGTTCTATTCGCCGATTCATAAATTTGTTCGCTAGCTGTGAGAATGAAACAGTGTCATTTTGGTAGCCTTAGAAGTGCAAAAGAGAAGAATACATGACTTCATTAAAGGCGTCCTTGGAAGTTTCTAGCCCCTCTATTGTCTACTCATTAGCTTCTCCTCTACCATCTTTTTCGCTTCGTTGTTGTACATTGACATCTCCTAACTACCGATGGAGACCTCGAGCTTAGATCTATTTGTGATACTTTGAAAAGAAGTACAGCGGCAAGCAGGGATCTAAATCTACCTCTAGGGTTTTTGCTGGATTTCTTTTAAGACCGAAACGTTGTGAAAATAGTTTGTTCGGTTGGATAGTCAATATAGACCTTAGCGAATGTGTTAGTGGTATTGCAAGATTCGGATAATGTAGCTTCGAAACAACACAAACGAAGGGCGGTGGTGGGGAGTGTAAATTGAAATAAAAATTTGGATTGGCTGTCTCTTTTTTACCTGAAAACGAGCGTGTAGCGTAAATCGATGCGTGAATAGTACAAACGATTACGGAGTTTTGTAACGTTGAACAAATTTTTATGGACTCATTCTAATCAGGTTATAACGAATCATCGCCGAACGTATCTGTCACATTGTGTCGGTACTGTGTTTTGAGCGATTACAGTTAGTGCAGCTCGGCAGAAATCATACGCTATCGACCGTCAACGTCTACGCTCTAAAAATTGTTTTAGTACTTTTAGCACTTTTACATTATTTAAAGCACAAACCCGTTAGCATTTCCAATTGAAGCGAACGTGTGCTAATTGATTGGTAAATTGTTTTCTTGTATTTTTCGCAATAGTAAATGTTGTTCCATTTACAACAAATGCACTTAACTAGGAAAAACTCCCATGGAAGGCTGCGTCGCTATTGTACACGAGTGGTAATGCCAGACATGGTTCGTTTCGATCGCGAAGACAGACAAGGCTATCTGTTTATAGGTAGAGCAATAACAACATAATCACGAACGTATTTCTAACTGCCTCTATATATAATAACGTCTTTCATATAAATGTATTCATCAAGATATTGTTTGGAGGAAGTGACTAACGGAACGGAGCCACAAATAGCGAATTACGGCGCCATCTATAAAAGAGGGTAGCGAATAGAATACAGTTTAGTAAACGTTTACGGTATGCTACGTTTTTCAGGGAATATTCGTATCGGTAATACATTGTTTCATGAACGGCGAGGTAAGTGAGACCTGAGAAAATGGCTAAACATTTGTTGTTATCGTGTATATATATATATATATATATATATATATATATATATATATACTAAAATTTAGATGTATCTTCGTATGGTTTCTACGACTGTGTCTAAACATAAAACAGATATCTCAACGATGTTGCGTTTGCGTTTACTAGAACTGTTATTCCTGCTAATAATCTTTATTCAATACAACCGCCATTCACCATACGGAATTTAAATTATTAACAATCCGTTTTCAATTTTTTCCGCTCCCACTATACTCGTAAATACGCTTCATGCGGAAAATTCTAATGCAACTAAAATTTAGGCTGAAATGAGACCAAAACTCCTGAAAATACAGAGGTTTAAAACCGCCAAAAAGTTCTAAAAGTGCAACAAGGCCCAACAAGTTTCAAAAAGGCTAAACGTTTGTCTTGCCCATCTAATTGGTATTTGTAACTTTCCTCTCAAAACAGCAGATAATTCCTCTATCAGAAAACGTAGGCATATTGAAAGTGAATCCCTCAAATATAAACCTCGTTGAAAATCTTGCGGTTTGCCTCGTAAAAGTCATTCTCGTATTTTTCAGAAATCGCTTGGAAAATGACAATAACGTAAATCATCGATTTCGGGCAGAACGGAAATTTTTAATTTTTTTTTGGGCTTCGCTGAGCGCTTAATGATTAGATAATAGTTCGTCTTTGTTCGAATTCACGAAACGACGCCCAGTTGTCTAGACACTTATACACTTGATGTATCTGTATATAGAAAGGAGGATAACTCTTAACAATAAATAAATCATCTTAGAGCTTTTACCGGAAATCGAATAATAATGAGAAATATGACAGCAGTTCTTTTAACATTGCCGAATCATGCATATCATCATAATGACCATCATTCTGTGAAACCGCCCACATACATAGGGTGCACACGACACCTATCTATATAAATTAAAATTGTACGACTCGCGTAACACTATCTTTAGTTGAATAGGCACAATGTGAAAGACAAAATGACGCAGACGCGAAAAATGTCTCATCCAAATCAAATTCTAGGTACAGGATTGCCTACGAACAGCTTACATTCGAGCATCGCTTCGTCGGAACCCTAACAGAAAATCAAAGTCGAGTTGTTTGCGCTCCGCGATCGTAACATCGTTCCAAGATTCCCAACCAGGGATTGACCCGGGTCGAGCACAAGGTCACCGAGTAATCAAGTTCGAGGATGCGGCGCTGCATAACCAGCAGGATGGAAAGCCTATAGAAATGAGGGTGACTGGGAACAGGCACGAACTGTCCATTACGGAAGTGCGACTTTCCAAGAAAACGTCGCTACTTCAAGGCGACGGCACAGATTTAGAATTCTGTGACCTAAGCGTACACGTTGCGGCGCTTTCAAGTGCAGGAGACGCTGAACATGACGCCCTAAAAGGTGCACGACCGAAGGATCTACGGTCGGTAGGCACAGACATAGCTCAAGTTTAATACACTAGTACAATGAGATGGAGAAATAAATACTGCTCTTCTTCGAGCAAGAAAAACGTTTTTTTTTTTTAATTTTTCTTTATTAGAAGGATAAAAAACAAAGGGAAACCTATGACACCTGGAGCTCCCCTGGAGTCAAAATGGAAGCTGACCATTTGAAAACGTTTCACTTTAACTGAATAGAGGAACGAACGAATCTTTATCGATGGGTAGTATTAATAGTAAAAACGAAGTAAAATATTATGAGAGTGGCTCAGGTATATTTTTATTCTTTAGGCAAAATAATTGAGCGAAAGACGTATAATGACATATACGGTTTTAACAAACCCTTTTTGCGAGCAAGCATATTGTTGAATAGTAAATACGCACACGTCATTTAACGCGAGCTTTTTTTTTTATTTATATATTTAAATAAACAAAAGATGTTTTAATTTGCACTACAGAGAAAGGGTTTAGTCCTAAGAGGTCTCAGCTTAATGCAAAAGAACGTGTACGCAGCAAAATTTGCAAGGTCGATTTGTATTTGCATTTGAGCTTGTCTTTTGGAACACAAATAGAATATTTTTTGCAATTCAACTTACTGTATTCTTGTTTTTCTTAAAGTATATAGCGTTCGCAAAAACATTTCGCTACGGTTATATACTCAGTGGAATGAACTATATTATATTTTTGAAATATCAAGATCAATTCCAGGCTTCTACAATTCAAAAATAGATAGAATCGCATAAGGCACGCCGTGTTTTCCAGTGCTTAAGTAAAACTTAAATGGAAACAGCCTCATCATCATACAGAACCTTCTTTAAAGCAAAATAAGTACAACCGTACGAGACTTCCTATATCTCATTTTGTTGAGCGAAATACAAACATGTATTTCGATCAGACCGCGTGGTTGCCTCCATAATTTATTATCTGTAGAAATTTTCCTACTAATAAACAGTCTGTGCATACGTAAAAGTCTGATTTATGATGATCATGAGGACATGGCTTAGAAACGAATTTCTAACAACGACAAATAAATGCGTCACATGCCTCGGCACAATTTTAGTCGCAGGTGCTTTCGTATAGGACGTGTCTACGCGTAAAAGATCTTTCTAACCAGAAAAAAAAAAAGCAAATACTATAGTACCCAAAAGGATTGATACCCATAATCGTTTAAGCCAATATATTCCTCAAAGGATGAGTCGGTTGAAAGGGGATTACATCGCTTCTAAGAAGAGCTGTCGAGGCTTAGATGGTTGTGCGATATCGAAAAGCCAAATACGGCTTTCAAGGTACATTTATATTCAAATAAAGAACCTTTTTCTAGCACTCATCACTAGCATCTCGTTAGTAGGACAACTATACGATTTTAGCGCAGTTATAAATCCTGATCTATAACATTGAACTATTATTGACAGGCGCTAATTTGAGCCAAATGAATCAGTGTAGACCACACTACAAATATTGATATTAAATTGCTTCGATATCGCTCGCGCAGTCGTTGCAGTAAAAAATAGCACAGAGTACCTAGGTAAAGCATCTAGTGATGGTTGGCTCTACTTAAAACAGTGATGTTTATAGTTTTATCGAGTAAGGGTTTTGTTCGTCTGCTTTGGTGCATCTTTTGTTCGGAGTTTGCCTTCCTGTTGAAGTTTTATTTACGCTATATCGTTGTCTTCGATTCGTGTAGTTGAGATTACTGTTACCTTCCACGATTGATTGTGTCCTGATTTTACCAATAGATTTTGTGGGAGCTAAAAGGGAAGCGAAACTAAGACATACCTTTTTTTTTTACATATTCTTATATATATATATATAGTATATATATCTAATATTCTGCTAGCAGTGAATGCAACTGGCTGGTTTTAGGGACAGAAACGCTAAGTGCACTGTTTGCCAGATCTGCCATATATATATGCGTTTTTGTTCAAACTCCTTCATGAAATACATAGTAGATTTATTTCTGTTCAGTAAACAGTATGGTCCAAATGATAAGAGTTTTCATTTTAAATGTACTGCATAGTCCCAACGGCATACGGGATTATCTTTGCACTTAAGTAAATTCAAAGTCGGCCGAGCCCTTATCTTAACCAGGACCCTACCAATTTTTCTTTTCCTACAAGAAGAACCGTAATAAATGGGAACCCTCCTTTGTTCGTAAATTAAAGGGATCAGTCACTGATCCTTTTCGGTGAAGACTATTTTACGACAAAGTAAAGAAGTAAGCGGTACGCTCTGTGGCACTTATGAGAAGTGTACGAAATATGAAAAATAGGGACTTTACCTGTAATATGAGTTTTTTTAAGTACCACCTTAAGAGGCGAGTAGGAAGCCACTGCCGTAGGTTCTATTTAGGAAAAGTTTAACTTCGCAATTTTCGTTCTCACAGACATTATACCCGTGTCCCTACAGCAGCCACAGCTTTTCTTAAATGTACATTTAGCAATATTAGAAAAATATTGATTCAGTCATCAAATACCTCCCAAGTCTATTTAGCGAGATATATCAAGGCAAATCAACAGACCTCGAAGTAAAGGTTAATAACTGAGGTAGCAATATGGTAACACCAGAGTACTGCAACTCCAAAAAAGGTTGCTTTATCCATCACCGGCATCGGGCTGGACATGGAAATGATCAGTCGATCAGTGGGCCTTTCCGCTTGTTTAGTGAAAACGAGCGTGTCTGCCCTTGATATCTTATACTTAAATTAACTGGCGTTTTATAATGGGCCATGTGTGAATGGCTACTGGACCATAGCTAGAGACAATCACTCAGAGCCATTTAAAGCGTCTAAGGATAAAGGAAGACTCATAATCATGTTCATGAGGCAAAAAGGTGGATGTATTAACCAACTTTCCTACGTGCGCGTCATAAGGAAGCTCCACACAAGTCCGAGTTACCTACGTCAAAAACAAATCATCAGTCGTAATCTGAAGTAGCATTTAAATTTATGCATGTTGCAAACGTTGTGAGACTAACGAATAGGAGTGAAAGCCAATATTTTTATAATCACACCTCCTGAAAGCCAAAAAGGCCTGAGGAATAATGTAAGGAATTGGCCTATATTCATCGGCAACTGAGCAAAGGATCTTTACGTTAGGTTAAAGTTTATCAGCTATGAACGAGCTTACAGTTGTCAACAGAAAAAACGTGCTGATCTATCAGTTGAACAAAGTCAGGTGGGTCACCTCATCACTACTCATAATTGTTTGTGTGTAACCATTTTCGAATTCAATCATTCGCTAGGTAACGATATGAGACAAAAGGCGACTGAACGTTCTGGAAAAATGCTCGAATAATTTCGGCATGAAATTGACACCAATGATTGTACCTGTGTTAAACAGGAGCACGATGACCGTCACACTGATAATGACATTTATTGTCTAAAACCCGTAACAAAAATGGGGACGCGGGATTCTTTGCTGTTTGGCATTGTTTGCCTTCCGTGAAAGCCATCTACTTTTTGAGGCCGGTTGCTTACAAACAGG